ATGGTCGTCATGCACAGGCATGCACGTGCATGCACGTGTGCTTTGCTGTGATTCGCTGAAACAAAAATCGCAATATCTTTTTTTAATTTTTGACGAAATGCTTTAAAATTTTAAACATAATCATGCATTAGGATGTCCTACAATATGATACATGGGCCATTTTCAAAAAAAGTCTATTTTTTTAATGACATATTTTTGAAAAATGAAAGTGGTTTTACTATGATTTTTTCAACTTTATTTGAATAATATAGTAATAAACTCCTAAATTCCACTGCATTGCATAAAAGAAAATATTTCTTTTAAAAAATATTGACATTTTATCTTAGTCATTTAAATTTTAATGTCCTTCCTGTTACTTTCATAAAAAGAGCTGTAAAACTCTATTTCAAAATTTTTATCTAATAATCTTTTGTATATCGTCAAAAAATGAAAAAAATATCATTGAATGCCAAGATGTTTGACATTCATCTAATATATGAGCGTTTAAAAGCATGTTAAACTACCATATACCAAACAGAAGCAAAATCTATGGGTTTTTCTTCATGAAAAGCCTTATTGCTGAATATTTATGTGCTATAGTTGAAAAAAACATTCTTGTACATTATTTTTGTGATTAGAATAAACAGTTACAGAAAGATATTTAAACAGGTGCTCTGCCAAAGCAATTTAAACTAGGAAAATATACTGGTAACAGTAAGGACTCGGGTAACAGGAAGGACAAAACAGTAACAGGATGGACAAAACAGTGTAACAGGATGGACAATGAAATCTACATTTGAAATAAAAATTGACTTTTTTTAACTTTATTGGTTAGGAAAAGAGAAATAAATGTAGAATAAAAACATGATTTTGTCAAATCTGGCAAATTCGAGACAATAAAAGACATTTATGTCCATCCTGTTACGAAATTTAATTGTAAAGTGCTATTAAAATATTTATCACTTCAATTTTTGTTTATTAAAGGTACTCTATGCTGTTGCAAAACTAAGAATTTTTCATAATTTTAAGAAAAATAAATGATAAAACTTAAATCGGTATATAAATACCAGGATAATTTGTCCCTCCTGTTACAATTTCTGTCCATTCTGTTACAAGAGTGCATGTTTAAGTAGTAATGGCACTATTTGAAACACTAGCATATTTCAATATGATTTACAAAGTTTTTTAACATGTGTTATTAAACTTATATTACTTAGAAAAATAAAAGTAATTGTTTTTATTGTTAAAACTCAAGATATGAAGTCCAGTTTTCCTTACTGTTACCATATTAATGGTAACAGAAATGACAGTAACAGGATGGATGTTTCTCATATAAATCACCCGTTATTTAGTATAACGTACTCTTTTTGCATCATCGAGACATTGAAACAATTTCTTTGTAGCTTAGTTAATTTAATTGTTTTAGCAGAATTAACAATTTAAAGAGTACTTGCATATTAAGAAGGTAACAGATAGGACGTACTTTAATTATACTCTACCAATAAGACAAACGTAGCGACCTTTGAACCCTTTCTTTACTCACTTTCAAATCATGGCGCTCATAAACTTGAGACAACAGAAAATGATGATATATTGTGGATCATGAAAACAGTTCCTAGGAAAGTGAGATAACTTTTATTTTAACATTTTCTTTTTGGTAACAGGAATGACATAAACTGGAGGGACATGTCACTTCCTGAATGTTAAATGCACAATACTAGTATTTAGTGGGCAGCATAAGTAAAACAATCATATTTAATTAATCTGTAAATAAATTCAATTAATATGAGGTGCAAAATTTGTGCATATCTTCACATGGTAATATTTTCTCTATCATTTAAATAAGCACATTATAAAATTTTTGTTAATGTGACATGGTTTTACTGTTAAATTTTACTCGGAATGCATAGAATATTTTTTATAAATTACCTGGGAGATGATCATAAAATAACTTATAAGCTGTATGACCATGTATATTAACCAACGGGAAAAAACTTTCACTCAAAAAATTTTTTTTCCTATTTATCTGATCAAAAGACAAAAAAGTGGACTTTTTTTGAAAATGACCCACATAACAGTTGTCATGAAAACATGCGCATACACGTGCGCTGCAATCTGATTGGCTTAAACTTAAAATGGCAATAACTTCCTCGTTTTTCAACCAAACAGGATGGGATTTAGAACATAGACAAACATAACAGACTCCTACAAGAAAATATGGTCGACATGCACATGCACGCACGTGCGTGCACGTGAAATGAGTAAAATTACAAATACACTAGATTAAAACGTATTTTTTAATACTTTTGGATAAAACGCTGTAATTTCTAGTATATAAATAGTGTAGACAAGATGATAAGGTCATTACGCACATGCATTTAAATGCGCATGCGTGCAATGCATAAATTTGAATATACTGAATATACTTTTGGGAAACATTGTTATAGTCTAAAAGGCATAGAGTTCGTCTTATTTAATGAAGCTTACAGGGAGTAAGGCACCAAAAGGGAGTTGGGGAGCGTTTGGGGAACATCTGTAACGGTTCCCGTTACAATTAGCCCTAGTTTAATATCTTGGAATTTTAGCCTCATCACATACTTTTACTCGGGGAATATTTTCCGTTATGATATGCTACGAATATTTAATAAAGGTCTCAATTTATATTTTTAGAACAAATTTTACACGTTCCCTCAACAAACTTTTTTAAAACGTCAATATAAAATTTACATTTTCCCCCCCCCCCCCCCCCCCCCCCCCCCACTATTAAGAGTCGTGGTTCGAATCAACATTTTTTTTTTCAATTTTAACTTTCGCCTTTTCCAACACTATTTTGATTTTTTCATAGGGTTCGTGTATTTCCCCATCCCCTTCTGATAAAAGACTAAAATTGCAAACTACTTGAATAATTAAATTTCACAACTTCCCTGTTTAGAAAAAAAAGATATAAGCTAAATTTAGATATCTGTATCTTTGAGACAAAAATGATAATATTTTACGCCTTTTAGTCATGTGACATGATATAAAGATGTTCATAAGGCCACAAAAGGGTACATGAAATATTGAATCAAATAATTTGTTATTTAATAATTAAAATTTAAATGGAAACAATCTCAGTAACATTAAGTCATAGATGTATAAATAATTTTATAATTAAATTGTGGATGCAGGTAACTTACAACACATAAAGTACATGGATGCACCTGCTCGTTCAACCATGGTTTATGTTGATATAAGATCCGCTTCACTTTTTGCCGTTGGAAGATGTTAGTTAACTGCATGTTGAAGGCGGAGGGTTGGCCATGATGAGGTTTGTAACAAATGTAGCTGCAGATCTGTAGCGTTATGATTTTATATATTTGTCTTTGACAATAACGCTACAGATCCCGTAGTGCAAAAAAGGTGCAATTTACGGCGCAATATTTTTTGCGCTATTTTGGGGAGAATTTCTCCACTTTCCAGCATCGTTCAATCAACTACCCTTCAATCCCTAATTCTAGATACATTATTTAATTAATCTGTATATTTTATCCATCTTCCAACCCTTTATAGTCGTCTCTACAAGTGATAAACTCGCTTGATTAAAATCATTGGTTAGATTACTGAAAATTCATATCCAGCGAGTTTATTTCCTGTAAAGACAACTATAAATGGTTGGGAGGTGGATAAAATATACATATTGGATACAGAATGCGTCTAGAATTAGAAAGTGAAAGGTAGTTAATTGACCAAAGCTAGAAAGTGGGGAAATTCTCCCCAATAATATTGCGCCGTAAATTGCACTTTTTTTGCACTACGGGATCTGTAGTGTTATGGTCAAAGACAAATATATAAAACCATAACGCTACAGATCTGCAGCTATAACAAATGATGAAGTCGTTCTTAATTTTTTAGTCTTATAATTCGTATAGAGTATATTTCGTTCTTTACAATAGAAATGTAGTTGTTAACATACAGTGCTAAATAACTTGATTTCACTCCTTATTGTCCCCCACTGAAAGTTGGGGATATTGATACTGGTCTGTGCGTCCGTCCGTCTGTCTATCTGTAGTTCTGTCTTTGCATATAACGCTTTCGGTTCCACGCGATATCTCGAGAAGCATTTGTTCTTTTGCAATGGATTTTACACAATAACTCCATATGGCCAAAGGAGGATCCTCATTGATTTTGAGGTCAAAGGTCAGAGGTCAAGGCTTAGCATGCGAGAGGCCAATGTTCAAATCCTGGTAGATCCATTTATTATTTTTTTAGCTTGTTTTGTATTAATACTAGACTCGTAATAAACACAATATGATTAGAGACAAAAAAAATAAATAAATAAACACAGGGTTTACCAAGTAAACAAGTTCACCTTGTAAACAGGTTATGCAATTTTTTTTGAAACTTTTCTATTCTACTGGCCATCAGTTTTTATGAGCGTTTTCAATGTATTCATGATTTCATCATTTTCTGTTTCCTGTTTAATCCTTAACTCTTGATCGAGAGAGACTTTTATTCATGCTGACAAAACATTCAATTTCCTCCTCGATTATCTGTCCATCATATCTGTTAAGTAGTGCTCTTGACAGCATGAAGTCTTTTCTCAGGGTTTATAGATTAGCGTGAAATTATATATTTACAGTCTTAACAGTATTTTTTTTTTTGGAGTGTTGGCAGGGAGTCTCCTTAGTGGACTCCAGGGGTTTTTGATCTGACTCCACGACAACATCTCGGCCATATGTGGATTGGTTTAATCTCTCTAAATCAAATAAAACTGCCAACAGCTCTGTTTCAATGTTCATGATATTTGCATAACGGGTTTCTGCATCTGATAAAAATCTTGAGGCATAAGCTTTCAGATTCCTTTCTGTAAGAGAACTGCACACAACCCAGTGTTAGATGTCTCACAGCTAACTGTGACATCAAAGTACTGTAAACCAACTACTATTAGCGTTATCTTTTATTCGCAAATCGTTAGTTTGATATCAATCTGCGACAACTAATTTTCGCCACCTAGGAAACATTCTCTACTAATACTTAAAATTATTGGTTGGTGGAAATTAATATTGATATGGAACTCGCGAATATTTATCGCATGCGAATTAAAGTTAGTACACAGTATTTGAGAATGCCGAATTTTGTTCATGTGACTGTCCAAATGAATTCATTTTCCGTTTTCATCTTTTAATAGTTTTCTGATTGAGTCTGTCACAGCTGACATGTTCGGTACAAATTTTGCCAGGTAATTTTCATTTCCAAGTAAGTTTTGAGTTTTGTCTGTTAGTGACGGCATTTCAGAAATTGCTTTGATAATTGTTTCTTAGTCTTGTCCATCTGCACCGAGTGTAGGTAATCTTCTTTATTCTGAATTTGCATTTTTCAGGATTGAGTGTTAGTCCTACTTTTTGAAATTTGCGTTGCACTGTTAGAAATCTGTCATCATGTACTTTTTTCCCTAATTAGAATGCCATCTCTGCCAATCTCAACGCCTTCATCCCAAATGGAATTTATCCCAAATGGCACTCGTAGAAAACAGTATCTACCAAATGGAGATTCAAAAGTTGACTTTCTCTGTCTAAAGGCATTTTGCAGTATCTATGATTACAGTCAATTTTGCTCATGTATTTTGCTCCTGACATACGTTTGGTAATATGTTCCTCTATGGTAGGATGTTCATAATGTTCCCCTTTTGATTTCACGATTTAGGGATCTTTGATCAAGGTGTACTAGTACTCTTGGTTTTCTTTGACTTTGGTTTTTCAGTCACAATTTCTCCATTTCTTCAGGAGTTGTTTTGAGTCTGTCACGTAAATTTGTAGGTATTTTTTCTTGGAGGATGGATGTAGAGTAGTTTAAACTGAGAGAGTATTTTCAGAGATGCTATGCCAAAATATACTTTGAGAAATGTTTGATTTGATTTTCAATTTCGGACTGAACGCTCAAGACGACATGAATAAGTCACAATTAATATATTCGATGCTTTTAATCCTAACAATGGAAACTGGTTTCTTTTACAAGGAATTCAAGTTTCTTGTTTTGTAGATGTAGTCGGCTGTCTCCTGAGTAGCTCCAATTAATGTTGTTTTTGTTCTTTTGAGTTTGACATTATTCAGTTTTAAACCCTAACCTTTGGCGATTGAGTTGAAAGAATGTTGACATGGAATCCATTGTCAATTTTGAACTTAATTGTCTTACCTTGAACTTTGAACCTTGTGAAACAGGAATTGTCAGATATTTCAGTTTTTTGTTGACCGCTCCGACGAAGAAGTTGTAATTCTCACATTCAGATTCATTTAGGCCTACACTTTCTTGCAAATTATTCACTCTTCTTTTTGTGAATCCTTTCGACCTACAGAATTTCTGAAAATGATTTGATTCATTGCAGTTATAAGATACTTTCACGTACGCTGGACAATTTCGTTTTTCTTGTTTCTTTCTGCATTTTTCAAATGTACATTTCTTGACTTGATTTGTTTGTTGTTTCCTTTGTCCACTGCCAGCGTTTCCTTGTTTCCTAAATTTCCTTGTTTCCCTAATTTCCTTTTGAGAGCACGAACTTTTTCTTTTTTATTGATTGTTTTGATTTGCCATTTGAGCTCTTCATCTTCTCGGCACAAGCTCACAGCTTTCTCTAAACTGAGATTTTTCAGCCGTAAAGGTCGATCTTTCTTTCACTCTTTATGAAGTTGTTCCACATGCAATTCTGTCTAAAATATTTGGCCGTCCCCGAGGTCTTCAAAGCAACAGTCTTGTACTGGTCAATGCTTCCACGAGGTCCTTATACTCTAGTGTTGAATCTGTGTCTAACAACTAACATATTTGTTTTGGGATGCAGGAATCTTCAAATTTCTTGATTAAAACATCCAGTTTGTCAACATCATCAACAGCAAGTGCGAATGCTTCCCTCTTGACCAATAATGTATAAAAGAGCTTTGCACTTTTTTTTCCACTTTGGTCAGTGGGGGCAACATTTACATATTGATCCATGGTTTGTTTCCATCTTTTCCACTTTTCCGCTAAGTTTCCTTCGTGAGAGAAGTCCATCTCCGGAGGTTGGTTAAAATGACCTTCTGGTAGGACAAAGTCCTCAAACTGTCCATTCTGTGAGAGAAAAAACTATTCTCGGCCCTTCAGGCCTGACGAACAGTTCTTTCTCTCACAGAATGGACAGTTTTCGGACTTTTTCCTTTACTTAATTAATTTCTCACCACCGAATAAAAGATGATACATTCACAATGCATTTTTTCATAAGTTCACAATCACTTCTGACACCATGTTACATTCCTCTTTATGCATAAGGAATTCTGTTATTCTTTGTCTATAATCGTTACTTAAGGTAGGATTCTTCTCATATTTCTGATATTTGAAAATGAAATTTCCATAAAAACAAGAAAACAATATCAGTAAGTGATAGTATCAGTGAGATTAAGTTTGACCGTTTTATATTAGAGGCAAGGTCAGGTCAAGGTCATTATCTTTTCCCTTGACATTAAGAATAAAAAAAATACAGTTGCTAATTATGTGATACCTACTTCTATTTCAATAGTTTAAAGATTGTTCTTTTTGCTTAAAAACATATTACTATATCGGGTTTATAGCATGATATTACCAAATTTACATAAATAATTTAACTAAACTGGATATTAGCTAATCCGAATTTTCTCTGTTTTTCTTAATTTTTTAGGATATATTAGTTATTTTCATATGCTTCCTATATTTAACTTTTTCTTATTTTCACATATAATACAGTAGTCTTATAAATGTTCAAAATGATACAAGAACGAAACGTTTTGATCGGTTACTAAGAGAGAAAAATACTTTTTATGGATTTTTGGCTCAAATCTGCGCTTTGATAGGAAACGTTTAAAAGCTAACAAAGTTCTAGTTTGTTTGAAAAATCATATTTATTTGATATATTTTGAAAGTTTAGTCCCTCATTATTAATTTAACTTACATTTGAAAATATCTCCAAGTCTTCGATTGTCTAAAAATTATAACTAAATTCATTGTTCTATTAAAATTTTGAGAGGCAGAAAAGAAGATATTTTCATACGCCACCATTCCGCCAAAAATATAGTCCCTGCTAGTTTTCAAATGCAGTTTACCATTTCTATTTAAAGTTGTACAATTGTGATGAAGAAAGAAAAATATGGTCTTTTAAATCCCTTACACCTCAATATATAAGACATGTTAGCAAGTATACATTGAATGTTTCATCTAGTCAGAAACCAGAGAAGAATCCTACCTTAAGTAAACATATGTTAAATATACCCGGTAGAACAGTATTCACGCGAATATCCAGAGAAACACTTCAAATAAAGTCCCCGAAGCATGTGTAGAGTAATGTCAATCATCAAGTGTAGGCAGAGTTTACAATAACAGGATTCAATTAAGATAAGCAGTGTCTGATCACTACGTCAGGGGTGTTGTTTTAAAATAAATCAGTATTGGTTTTGTATTCAGTTTTGTATTAAGTCATCCACTCAAACTTTCATATAAAAATTAATACACTGGCAGTATATTTTGTAGAATAATTCATTATTAGTATTATTCATAATTTTTAATGACAACCAAATTACCAGTAAATAAAACAAGTTCAAACGAGATTTCGGAGCATTAAAATAAATCTCTTGAATACATGCTTTGAAAAAAGTCATTCTAGCCTTCAAAATTTACAACATTCTCTATTTATTTTAAAGATGAAAGGATGGCTACATCAATTTCAAGGCGAGGACAACATTACCTAGAATGCGATGTTTGTAAAAGTCCTGTCAACTTCAAATGCAAGAGATGTGCTGTCAAATTATGCAACACATGTGTAGGGTCCCACGTGCTTATCAAATCAGTAAAAGGTCATGAAGTAACAAATTATTATGAAGAAAATAAACCCGAGGGTACAGAATGCTCTGCCCATCCAAAGCAAGAGTGTAAAGCCTTCTGCGAATCTTGTGATATTCCCATCTGTGTTTTATGTGTATCAATCAAACATAAAACACATGAAATTTGTGAATTATCAGAGAAGATCGACACATTGTCCGATTTTATAACGAAAGAAAATGAACGGGTACAGTCGATACAATCTGAAATAGAGAAAATTCTCAATCATATAGCTAAAAGATCGGCGGCTCTTCCAAATATCTACAAACAGACGAGATTTCATATTTCAGCCCATGCAAGAGAGTGGCATCAGGAGATTGATAAAGCAGAGACCCAACTGCTCAAAGACTTGGATGTATTGCAAGAAAAGCATGCAGGAATATTATTGAAGCAAAGGAAAGAACTTGAAGAAACATTTAAGAAATTGAAAATCCTTAATCAAACAGACCTAAGCTTGGCAAAATCCAAAGATATTTTTGGGTTAATGGAACTTCAGCTTGAATTTGAAAATCAGCAGTTGCCAACCTATATAGAAGAAACACTACCAGCATGCTTTCAGCCTTGTTTGTTCGATGAAAACTTTACAACTTCGCATTTTGGCTTCATTAATACACTAGAATCGCAAAAACTACCTATTGGTGATCTGACACAAGAAGAAAAAACCTCATTACGACAAGCTCTAGATGTCCCTACAGTCTTGTCCGTCTTTGATACAGAGTTCCCAGCCAACAAAGAAAACGAGACCCGGCTATATGATTTGGTCCCCTTCGATGACGACAGAGTGTGGGTAGGAGGATATAGTTATGAGCTCAAACTGTTTGATTTCCAGGGACGTCTCCACAACACAGTCCCTATCACAGATTATGGAGGGTATCTGTCCCTGCATGATGGACATGCAGTGTATGCCAATAGAAATGACAATACCGTGAAGAAGTTTATAAACGGTAAAGAAGAAACATTGTTCTGTACTAAAGAGTGGAAACCCTATGGTATGACCTGTACCGCAGCACTGGACTTCCTCGTCTGTCTTCGGACTTCAGATGAAACAGAATCAAAGGTCGTAAGATACAGCATTTCCTGTGACGTGCTGCAGGAAATCCAGTACGACTCCCAGTACCAGCCTTTGTTTGGAAAAACAAATTACGTAGTAGAGAATGGTAATGGCGACGTTTGTGTAGCAGACTGGGATAAAAAAGCCATCACAGTCGTTGACAAGTTCGGGATATTCAGGTTCTCCTACAAAGGGAACAAAGCTTTAAAGGAAAATATTCATGGAGGATCCCTTACCACAGACAGTATGCGTCACATCATCATCACTGACTATCTAAGCAACAAAATTCACATGCTGGACAGGGACGGTCGATTCCTGAGGTACATCATTCCTGATCAGGGGATACGGGATCCACGGGCCGTGTGTGTCGTTAGGGAGGGGGAATTAATGGTGGGAGAATGCAATTCAGGAAAGGTTAAGAGAATAAAGTATTTAGACTGAAAAGGAAGTTTGAGGACAAAACATGTCCATTACATGAATCAGATGTGTTATTCATTCCAATACCCTTTTGTAATTTCTGTTTTGACTTAAAATAAACATAGTTACATATGTAAGAAGAAACAGTGATATGATCATTTAATAATAATAATTCCAAGTAAAAACAGTGGTGAAATTGATAAATCATTGAATATCGATGTGAAAGTAAAAACCAGAATGTTTTCATTGTATAAAGTATCATTCAACGAAGATGAACAAATATACTTCTTTCTAGTTATAGTCAAAGGGCCTTTAAAAAGTTTCTGGAAATAAATTGCATTCCCTTATTATTAAGATTTCCTTTGCAAATAAAATATATTTGTAAGTATTTGTAAAATGTTTAAACCTATCAAAGGAAGATAAATATAGAGAGAAAGCATTTATTTTGATAATCCAGACATTTAATCAATCTTATTAAGTTTATTCTTGATTTTGATTGTATTACTGATGTTCTGCATGTCGGTAAGAAAAAGTATATTTAAAAAATAACCTGAATCCTTCCTCCTGTATGTGCATGTGTGTGAGAGAAGATGGTTGTGTTTGGGTTTTTTTTTTAACAAAAGCATATTTTAATGCTGTTTTTTTCTCCTGTAATGTTGACACCTGTTTTTAGTGAAATATCATTGTCAGGAAACGCTATTGAAGTACAAACGCTTCCTTCAATAGCAGAAACAGACGTTGTACAAATATGGTTCAAGTTCAAGCTTATTTGTTATGACTTTTTTATAACTAAATGTAACATTGCTATAGATCTACAACGTATAGTTTGACTTACTTTATTATTACAATGATATGTTCAGTCCTAGTTTTTATGTGGTTTTAGATTGATTAATTGTTGTTTAACGTCTAATGCGGTTGAAACATTTCATGAAGCTTAGTTGTTATTATAACATTAATTATTCTTTTCATACTTATTTTTTTATTTCTATAATTCTTGTTACTTAAATACCTTTTCTTAATTTTTATTTGAAACTAACTTCGATTGAACACATGAACATAACTTCTATTTTATCTTGTCATTAGGAACATGAGTAATAAATTCAAAAGCTAAAAATAACTTTCTTCTTTTCTTAAACTACTCGTAGCCTCCATCTTCTAAATCACGTTTTAGGTTACTGAGTAAGTAAACATGTGATAACATATGAAAAATAACAATATTGAGTTTTAGAGACTAAGTCAAAACGCCTAAGACTTCAAAGGTTTCTGTATTACAAATGCACCTCTGAATAAGAATAAATCATTTCGTATGAATAAATATTCATCAAATTCAAATTTTAGAGGCAAATATTTTGAGAAGTTCATCGTCACGATATCAGGACTAAGATTTCCCAACGTAATTAGGGCGCTGCCAAATACGTTTTAAAAATTGTCTTGAATCAAAGAATAATTATACTGTCTAATTTTTTGATTTCATGATGTGATCAATCAAAGGGGTTTGCGTGATAATTTGTAATTCGCCGAAGGCGTTTGTGTATAAAATTATCACGCAAGCCAATCGATTGATCATCGTCATGAATTCAAAAAATCTGACAGTTATTCATTATATTTACATGTTTTTTACTGGACGCTAATCCAAGTGCTACAAGCTCCGCGAGTGTCTCTATCGCTTGAAGTCCACCCCGCATGTGATTTAATAAATAATAAATAATAATAAATAAAATACACTAACTATTAGAGATTGTTCTATCTGACGTATCCGTATAAGTATCCGTATCCGTATCCGTATCGAGATATGAAAGGCATCTCGATCCCGATGTCTAAACCATTTAATACAATTTCCATATCTGTTTGGGGTTAAATAAGCCACAGTCCATGCATTAGAAAATAGCAAATAGCAATTTTTGTATTAAAAATAATAAACTGCTGTACACCATTTCGTAAAAAAAAATTATCTAAAAAAAGAAAGAAAATGAAGTCAAGTATAAAATATTTTGTTTTAATTATATTGTTTTAAAATTAATTTCATTTTGCTTCAAAATATTTGTAGGAAATCCCCTTTCTCTTTTTCCCCTCGTTTAATATCTTTTATTGATTTTGTCTGTATTTTTCATTTGCCATGTAACGGCTTACCAATTACCCCCCCCCCCTCCCCCGACCACCACCACACACAAATTGAAATACAAAATACGTTATCATCAACGCGATCGATAAAATGTTGTAGCCGTTTTTAAAAAGACTGTTCAAACTGATTTCATAATTAGCTTCAGGACGGTTATAAGTATTGAGTATATGCTTTGAAGAGCTTGTGTAACTCCCCCCTTTTCCCCTCCCCTCACATTGGCGTCAGAAGCAAATTAAAAGTAGGGGGGGGGGGGGGAGAAAAAAATTAGCCCTGAAAAACCTTGACAGACAAAAAAGTACTAAAATACTACTCTGTGTATGTGTGTGTGTGTGTGGGGGGGGGGGGTGTCGAACTTTTTTCATTGCCATTTTTTTTTTCAAACACTAGTACTACCACTCACCCTTCTTTGACTGCAATACAACGTGCCTGTTGAAAGTGGGGAGGGGGCTTATTCTACTCTCAATGTTCAATGCATATATTAAGTCTATCTTTGCCAAAAAAAGCGGGGGGGGGGGGGGCGTGCCCCCCCCCCCCCCAAACCGGAAGTGTCCCTCACTGTGTGCATGCCTCACCATGTGCACACACAAAATTTGATAAGTTAAACGTCTTTTGACTTTCATTCATTAACAGCATTTGTGGTTTAATATAAAACTATTTCATAATACGGTATTCAACTCTCTTTTTATGCAAAGAATAAAATAATTATGGCTCAAAATTTTCAGAATAACTATAAATTCACTATAAATTCGACCATGTTCAATTTCCAAGCTCCTTGAAACCATGGATATGCATAGGCGTCGGAACCGGGGGGGGGGGGGTCGCTAAGACTTTTTTTGCAAAGATGGACATAATATAGGTATTTAAAATTGGGGTTTACCTTTTTTGTTGGTTTAGCCCCCCCCCCTTTCAATTAGAGCCCCCACTTTCTATTTGCTTCCGCCGGCTATCGACCTACAATTTAGGGAGTGTTTTCAAACCGCCCCAGAATTACCAGCTATCCATTTTTTTTGGAGGGGGGGGGGGGTGGGGTGGGAACTATGACCATCAAATAAATACCTGATAATGAATGGCATAGAAGATGATAAAAATGGAAAAGAGGATGGACATTTTCAGTGAATCACCCATACACATTTGTTTTGCCCTACAATGTATGGTTAAATCTTTCCCAGTTAATGTACAACTACATGTATTTACAATTTACAAGTTTGAGTTTAAGAGATTTAACTGTATATATAATTATATATTATTGGAGATATGTCGTGTTCTTGTAAATGTTAATTCGAGAATGAACAATGAAACCCAAATATTGAGAAAGAGAGAGAGAGAGAGCGAGAGAGAAAGAGCGAGCGAGAGAGAGAGGTGAATCTAGAAATATTTTCGAACTATTTTTTACACATTTAAATTTTAAAAAAAAACATACTTGTTTTTAGAATTTTATTTTTAAACTTTACCCCCCCTCCCCCATTAACAGGATGCTTAAGTCGTGTACAGCAACTGATATGTTTTTATTAAAAATGTCACACTACATATCATTTCTTAGTGAATGAGGTTAAAAACCAAACATGAAACGATGGAAATGTAACTAGATGGTTTATGCATCGGGATCGAGATGCCTCTCATACCTGGATACGTATACGGATACGGATACTTATACGGATACGTCAGATAGAACAATCTCTATTTGTAATATTATCTCGGACAAAGACATTGGAAATGTAAATATAAATTCATTTACTGTTATGTTTACATTTCCAATGCCTTTAATTGTACGAGACAAAATTACAAATTGTTAAAGTACTTTATTTCTACATAAATGTACTAGTTCATCGATAGGCGTGGTTAAAAAAATCACGTGCGCGGCGGGACAAATAGAGACAGACGTGTGGCTTAGAGCACGTGGATTGGCGGCATCAAGGGTCTGTAAATATAAGGAATAACTGTCATATTTTTTAATTTCATGACGATGATTAATCGATTGAATTGCGTGATAATTTCATGCATAAACGCCTTCGGCGTTTTATGCAAATTATCACGCAAGCCAATCGAGTGATCACATCATGAAACCAAAAAATTAGACATTATTCCTTAATTAAATAGATCTAGAGTCAGAGCACCAGATGGGGTAGATGTGTTTGTGAAACACATATAGATATAAGGTATCTTCGATCCCACTTAGCCAACATTTTCGAGAAAAAAATACAGGTAAGCTATAGTCTGTTTTAAGCTGTATTTTTGTTAGCCAAATAAAATATTCAATTAATATCTGTAATTAATTTAAATTCATATCTCAGAAGTCCATCAAACAATACAAAATAGGAGCGGAGGAAACACGGACCTACAAAACATCAGAGATGGGATCAGGTGCCCTTTGAGGAGTGAACATCCCCTGCTGACCGGTCACATCCGCGATGTGCTTCTTGTTATGATCGAGAAAGAACCAGAAAATCCGTCGTCAATTCCCAGTATATGAATAATGACCCAGAACACTCAGTATGAAAAATGTCAGAACGTAAGCATTTGACTCAATGATAAATTGTATTTGCTGACAAGGTCATTGAATTGACCATAGAACTTACGAAATTATGACTTTAATTAAACGAGACTCTTGATATTCTTGTTTCAGCAACTTGCATTTGTTTGTCAAAACTTTATCCTGTTTTCGAAATTGTTCATTTGCGTGCAGAAAGTATGCTCTAATGCGTATCGAATCAACTGAGAGACATACATTCCCCGTATGCAGATGATAATTAAGGGTATATTTAAGGAACCACTGCCTAGTTAGTATAGTATGCCAGGGCATCAACGGTAGTGGAAAACATCGGATAATTTGCATAACGGGCTTCGCGATTTATAAAGGTTAAACTCACTAAACTGCCCGAATCCAATTTATACCGTATATAATGGGTAGATATTAAATTCAATTTCTAAAACGAGGTAAATTATTGAAAAACAAGTTGCTGAAAAAGAATATTAGCAGTTTCGTTTAAAGTCATCATTTCGTAAGTTTTATGGTCGATTCAATGACCTAGTCAGCAAACACAATTTATCATTGAGTCAAATGCTGACTGACGTTTTTCATACTTATTTTTACTCCACTGTTTATATACTGAATTGAGGACGGATTTTTTTTTGTTATTTCCCGATCATGACAAGGCGCTAGCATACGGCGGTTGTGAACGGTTGGCAGGAGATGCTCACTCCTCCATGGTACCTGATCCCATCTCTGATGTTTTTTGTGGTCCATATTTGTTCTGCTCTTATTTTATATTGTTTTATGGACTCTACTTTGGGCACCAATTTATAAATTTAATTTGCATTTAAGAAAAGTTTAATCGTCGCTATATGTTGCCATACGGGGGCATCATATGCAGTGTTTCACACATCTTGTCTTTCTATGTAAAACTCTGACTGCTCATTATGACCCTGCATGCCCAATATTTAAATCTACACTTCATGAGGATGCCTCTGTTATATATATTTAAAAAAACTACAATGATGTCGCCCATTGTTATTTGTCTATGTATATTTTAGCAATTCAACCAGCACTTACTAGATGGAAATTTAAAGATTCAATATTGGCCATTAGTTGGATATTCGAATATTCAACTGCCTCTGGGTTGGGTATTTAAATATCCTTAACATTTGTGCATAAATACAATAGTTAGCAATGAACAAAAAAAACAAAAAAAAAAAAACAAAATCAAAACCAAACAACAACAACACCCACAACAAACCAAACACCCCCCCCCCCCCAAAAAAAAAAAAAAAAAAAAAAGAGGCCCAAGGGCCTTGAATCTCTTCTGATAAATTGTACAATCTGTCACTTTTATTTGAAGCTTTAACTCTAAATATCCCATGATGCATGAACTGACAAAGTTCGATAATTCTTAGCCATTTTGGACTAAAGATATTTCAATATAGCTATAAAAAACCATAAGTAGGTCACGATGACCTACTTTTTAATTTGAAACTTTCTGAGGACTCAAAATGCATTAATTGACA